TGCCGCCATGTGATTGGCTGATTAGAAATTAAGTGTTAACGAGCAGTTGGACAGGTGTACCTAATAAAGTGGCCGGTGAGTGTATATATACACAGTATATATCGCTGTGAAATTTTTGACTTTTTTTTAAGTCAACAGCGATCTTAGCCCCACTCACAATAAACTCACCATCTCCCTCTCCTGGGCTCATTGTGTATCTGTCTTAAATGAAAAGTTACTAATAAAGAACAATGACACAATCCCTTCCGTAGAACATCTGTCTCTCTGGAGTTTCTACCCAAAAAAAAAATTAACTCCACTTWATTCAGTGTCATTTGCCGCCTTTGAAATTCACCTGCGAGTGAACACTACGGTCTTTGTCGGCGCCCACAACTTGACTCCACACTGAGAGCACGCAAGTTAATTAAAAAAGTTGGAGGGAACAATTTCATTACTACGATGGAGAGCTATAGCAACTTGATGGTGCGCTTGATATTCTGTGGGGTTTCATTATGTCGATAACGACCCCCCCCCCACCATCACTTGCACACATATTCCAGCCCAGAAGCTGGAATCACACCCAGAGCCTCCACCGTGTCCTTTTTCTACAGGTGCAAAGAGAAATATGGGAAGAATGTACATTAAACTTTAAGGTTGGGGGTCTGATTATGTTTTTTATTAAGGCCGCTGTTTAGCCCCAGAGAAGAGAGCGGCTGGCTTTCATTTCAGCTCGGCTGCTGAATTACGGCAGGAGGTCTCCCTCTCTTTGCCCTTTCCACAGAATGAAACTGTCCCTGGAAATCCTTCTGGTCCCCGTTGGCCTTTTTTTTTTACCCCCTACCTCTCTCTTTCCATCATGATAGGATACCTTTTTTATCTGTTATGTGTCTTTTTTATTATTAAACCAGTAGATAAGCTACTATCTCTTCTCCAGTTGGAAGTAAGTGGAGATAATACGGTTCGATGGGGCTGGGCTCTCTGTGAAACAAACACAGAGATGCTGCTGCTGCTGACTTTTGTATCTTTATTTTCTTTGGCGTCTAGTCGCAGCGACATAGTTGGATGCTGAGGAAATCCTCAAAATTGCACTGATGATACAGCCTTAGTTTCCAGTACCGTGACAGGAATCTGTAATTTTTGCGTTCCA